GTTGAGAAGCAGAGAAATGACTGTCTCCATGTCGAAGAGAAGTATATAGACCTGTACCATACCGTATAATATAATACCTGTCAATCAACGAAAAAGCAAAAATGAAATGAGAAAAGAAGTGAACAGAACGGGAGAGAAGTACTCCGTAGAGAAGATCCAGCTATTGCGTGACGGAATCATGATGCTCATGCTGCTTCGCATGCGTATGGTTGTATGGTTGTATGCAGGTGGTTGTGTATGGGTAGAATAGATGTATGTCAGCTCGACTCAACTCAGGAAGAGGAGGAGCTGGAGGAAGACGAGGACGAGGTGCCAACCTCATGGTGTAGGCCGAGAAGTGATCGTCGCGGGCACGCTGCTGAACAAACTGCTGTAGGGCATCGGAATCGATGAAGCTATCGGAGCTTGAACTGCTCGAGGTTGTGCCGCTGAAGCGATAAGATGTTAGTACGGCAGCTCAGGGGTGAAGTAGCAGAGCAGCAGATGTAGGTAGACGTACATGGAAGAGGAAGATGGCGGCGTCACAGAGCTCTTTTTCGTGGCATGAGGCATGGTGGAGGCAGCAGATGAACGTTGTATTTGGGCTTAATAAGTGGTTGTTGTGTAGGGAGATGGTGGTCGTATGTGATGTTTGATGGAAATGCGAGGGTCAACAGGCGGAACTGGATGGTTTATATGCCTTTGGTGCCTGGAGTAACTAGTTATACTGCTCAACACCGGCGAGCAGTGACATCCTTTATATACCCGAGAGAGAGAGAGAGAGAGAGATTCCACGCCGCCCGACTTCTCTTTTGAGTTTTCCTCTAATTATCCTTCTTTTTTGCAGTTCGACTTAATTTTCAAGTTGGACTTTGTTTTTCTTCGCCTGTTATTTTATTTTTCATCTGTTTCTTCCGTCATCGGCTTTTTCGATGCCTGCGGATGCTCAACCGTCGACTAGTTAGTGTACCCCCAAGATTTCTCACTTTCCTTTCTTTTTTCCTCTGATCGGGGCCAGGAATAACTTTTACTTTTCATCACAGCTTTATAGATGCCATCCGATGTGTCTGAAGCTAGTGAGTGACTCTGGGGCGTAATTCACGAGCTATTAAGGGGGAGAGAAGAAAGGCGATGATGAAGTCATATCTACTACAGACGATGGATGAACCCTACACCGTACAGGGTAGCGGAATTATCTTCCGCATCTGCAACATTCTCTGGAGGCATTTCCCCCCTAGCATCCCTCCCTTGCTGGGCTTAGATCTTCCCCCTAGCCCCCTGCAGGGTAAATGCTCCGGAGCGGTGGGCGTGGCTCACCAATGGACCGTTTGTATACTGCAACAGAACCCTCAAAAACAGGAAAAGACAGAAAGCAACCCGTTAGACCCTCGAGTAACCAGATCTTGCATGTCATAATATAAATTAATATAATTCTCGATGATCACCAGCCACCAGCCACTAGTCACTAGCCACAGCTCTCAGGCAGAAGGAGAAAAGCAAAAAGGCAGCAGCCAAACGGAGGCAGTCTATAGGCTAGATGACACGAAGGCAGCCAGGCGAGAGCAGCTCGTCTTTTTAACCTTCCACCAGCGGAGCCGATCCTGGAGAAATGTCCAGGAGATGGTGGCGCATGGTTCGTGTGTGTTTCCTGCATCGGGGCCCCATCATATATCGATCGTTGATTTGGTCGGTGCCTTGCCGTGTCCGATACATAGACCTGGCTTACGATAGGCTAACTACTATGAGTGTGTCATGGTTTCTTCGTGGTAGTTTCAAGGATGATCATCCACACGCAGCTGCCTCCCATCTCACCTGTCGGGGTGCCAGCAGGAGGGGGGAGGCTAGTCCTCAACAGCAATCCGCGTTCGCCAGACAAGATAGCCTTCCCACCAATAGTACGGACGCGATCCCGAGTGTATTCGCAGCGTTTCACCGTGTCACTATTACCCAGAGCGGTAGGTGTTATGTCGTTAATGAGTGGCTGTACAGATCAAGGCGAAGGAAGATGCAG